AGTTATATGATCATGTAATAAAGACAATAAAACAAAATGCTGGAGGAAAGAAGTATCTGCTATACTCATTTCCAGAGTTCTGGATAAAACAGAGTGTTGCAATTCAAATCTGTTCCATGGAGAAGAGCTTTCCTTACCAAAGAGAACACACTGAATTGGCAATCTCTGAGAAAGCCTTTGCACTGAAATAACAGGTGGATGTAGGACCAAATGAGGTCAGAGATATATTGGCAGAGACATGGCAGAGAAACTTTTATCACCATGCCAATAGACAACCTCCTTCCAATTTTGCAGCATAGATTGCCAGCATAGCATTGGCAATGCAACCAAGATGGAACAAGCAAGCACTAGTTTCTGATTTAATCATTACTCCACAGTATTTGTGCATTCTGTATGTAGACTAATTGTGAGATGATCCTGCCACTTCACTATACTTCTAGAAAAGAGCTGTCATTCATTTTTTTATGTTTTGTGGTATGTTTCCTCAAATATACAATGTTATGATTCCCCTCCCTCCCAACTTTGGAAAATATGAAAGTTATTTTTTTGCTATGGACTACACCAGCATCTGCCAGTCATTGTGTACTGCTTTATTTACTGTATGTATCTTAACAGGAATTGTTTTAAAAACATAAAACCATATTTTGTTCCACTAGAACTAGGAGCTATGGAAGATCAGTGAACTGCTCTTTTTCACATATCTTTTAAGCATATAGGGACATTTCTCTTCCTTTTATATAATATGAGAACTCAGTGACATCTAAGAAAATCTTCTGACAATTTGGTCAAGAATCAGATCTTGGTACAAATCATAACTTACCTTAAGGGTTTGCTAGCACAAAATATGGTGATCCTATTTGGTACTATAATAGCTGACAGGTAATAGTATCAAGATCATAGGTAGAGCAATAGCATCAGAGTGTGGTCAAGAAGGCAAAAGCTATTATTGAAGAGGAACATACAAGCTAAGAGAAGCTGCAGCAGATTGCTCTTCCCTGAGTCTACTGGGAAAATAAGATTTTGCTCCTCTTTCTGATTTAATCATGTGTGAACTACTTTTACTCTCTGAACTCAGTTTGCAGCAATTAACGGTCCAAAACACACTGCAGAAATCATCCATTTTGAGGCTGCTTTAACTGCCCTGGCTCAGTGCTTGGGAATCCAGGGAATTGTAGTTTATTGTGGCACCAGAGCTCTTTGACAGAGAAGGCTAAATGTCTCACAAAACCACAGTTCCCAGAATTCCCTAGCATTGATCCATGGCAGTTAAAGCAGTCTCAAACTGGATGATTTCTGCAGTGTGATTTGGACTGAAGGAAGCTGAGGACTAATGGGGAAAGTGGAGGGAGGATGCAAAACTGAGATATTTTTAAAGCAGCTGGAAAAGTGGGATAACAGATAATTAATTGTGACCACTCCTGCCAAATTGAGCAGTTGGAGAGGAATAAACATAACCTATATGTTTGAACACCCAGAGAAACATCTAGTTTGTTACTGTGGTGATTAAATGAACCTTGGTCTGATCCATTAAGGTAATTTTTAAAAATCATATGGATTTGGCATACTTGTAGTAAGATGTGTATGGTATGATATATGGATGGCATCCACAAAGTCTCAGTTTCAAATCATCATGTGGGGTCATATGAAACAGTTTCCTGAAACAATGGCAGATTTCAGCCAGTCAAAAACTGGAGCGTGGCCAAAGGAGAGTGACTAAAATGGTGAAGGGTCAGGAAACCATGCCCTATGAGGAACGACTTAGCAAACTGGGTATGTTTAGCCTGGAGAAGAGACAGTTAAGAGGGGATATGATAGTCCTGTTTAAATATTTGAATGGATGTCATATTGAGGAGGGCACTAGCTTGTTTTCTGCTGCCCCAGAGAACAGGACCCGAAACAATGGGTGCAAGCTCCAGAAAAAGAGATTCCACCTCAACATTAGGAGGAACTTCCTGACAGTGAGAGCTGTTTGACACTGGAACACACTCCCTTGGAGAGTGGTGGAGTCTTTTTCTTTGGAGGTCTTTAAACAGAGACTGGATGGCCATCTGTCAGAGATCCTTTGATTTTGAGTTCCTGCATGGCAGGGGGTTGGACTGGATGGTCCTTGTGGTCTCTTCCAACTCTATGATTCTATGATTCTATGAATATAGACTAGGGTGGCCAGATGCAGTGCCCTCTAGCCATTTTTGCTTTTAATCTTGCCATTCCTGAATTTGCTACATTGACAGAAAAGAAACCTGCTTTTAATTCAAAACTGACTTCAAAGACACACACACACACACACACACAAAATGCAAATGTCTACTCATTCCAGCACTGTTTGACAGGACAGAGCTATCCTGGAGACTTATAAAGAGGAAAGCACCTCAATTCAGTGATACTGTTGTTGCAACTACTGACTGACTGTGCTCTACAAATGGAATTTTGTGTGTGGAGGGGGAAAGGTCTACCTCTTCACAGACTCAGGTTCACCACAAGCTGTGGTTTAGTAGATTCTGCCAGCAGCTCCACCTACCCCAGCTCTAGAGGTGAGGGAGTTGGTAGATAAAAGCAGCAGTCTGCTGGACTTGCTCCTAACACAAGGGCAAAAGGCTGTTGTGTTGCATGAAAGACAGGGGAGGGCTGTGTTCTAGTTGATCTGCACTTTATTATTATAGCATTATCACCTACAGCCTGTCCACCATATGAAGCATGTGTTTTGAAAAGAGGAAAGGAGATACTGGATCTGAGGAGGGCATCGATTACAGTGATACTTGGCAGAAGGGCATATGGAAAGTTACACCCTAATTGAAAGGACAAGAATAGGGTATTAATTGTCCCTAAACTCAAACAACTTGGATAGTCTTGGAAACAATGCCTGGGTTGAAAATGCTGCTGGTGAATGCCAGGTCAGTGAATGGGACAGCAGCTGCCATTCAGGACTTGATCTTGGATGAGCATGCCAATCTGGCATGTATCACAGAGACCTTGTTGGATGAGGCTGTAGGGATTAATCTTTCTCAGCTTTGTCCACTAGGGTTCTCTGTTCAGCAGCAAGCAAGACCTGGCAGATGGCAGGGGATGGCATTTCAGAAATCTATCAAAATTTCCTTCCCCTGACTACCTGCCTCCCTCAGATCCAGTATCTCCTTTCCTCTTTTCAGAACACATCCTTCCTATAATGGGCAGGCTGTAGGTGATAATGCTATAATAGTAGCTCTGTCCTCAAGTTTTCTGAATTTTAATGCATTGTTCTGAAGCTGGGTGGCTGGGACAGTTTACAGATTCTGTTGGCATCCTGCCCACCCAATTGCTCAACTTCCTAAACTAGCTAGGGTGGTCTTGGAATTGGTTTTGGAATCCCTCCAGCTTGTAGTGCTGGGGGATTTCAACATCTATGCTGAGACCGCCCTGTTGGGAGCAACTCATGACTTCATGTCTGCCATGACAAGCATGAACCAGTACTAAGTGATATCTGGCTCTATTCAGGCTGCTGGGCAAACCATGGACCTTGTTTTCTGTAGTGGGATGAATATGATCTGGGAGTGGAGGAATTATCTATAGTTCTGTTGTCATAGGCAGATCACCATCTGGTGGTGTTTAGACTTACTGGGACTCAGAACTGCAGGAGTGGGAGACCTATTAAATGGTCTGCCTCAGAAGGCTTATGGATCTGGATGTGTTCCTGGTAGTCCTTGGGAAGTTTCCTGTTGCCTTGACAGATGATCCTGTTGAAGTGTGGAAATGAGAAATGGCCTGGGCAGTGAACTCAGTTTCTTCCAAGCATCCCCTCTCACAGAGTGGAACCAAACCAGCCCCTGTTTTTCCATGGAGCTGGTGACAATGAAACATGTGAGAAGGTGATAAGAGTAACACTGGCAGAAAATTTGGAGCGGGTCTGACCGAACACAGGCTAAAGCTTATCTGAGGGCCTACTCTGTGGTAATAGAGGCAAGATTTTTTTTTTTTTTAAATCTGCCTGTATTGCATTTGCAAGGAGCTGGCTAGAGGAGCTATTTCAAGTGATAAGGGTTCTTTTACACACTAGCCCAAGAGAAAAATCCAAGCCACTTGATAGCCTGCTGTGAACAAATTGCCCAGCACTTTGCAGATAAACTCATTTGGATACACTCTGACTTGGACGCTATAATTGCTACAGATCCAGTGGATGTAACTTTGGTCCCTGCGTGTCTGGTGATGATGGATACTTTTCAATTTATGCAACCTGAGGATGGGATAGGATTCTTGGAGAGATGAGGGCCACCACAAGTGCATTATATCCTTGCCCTTCCTGGTTTATTTAAAAAGCTAGAGGGGGGACTGACTGAGTGGGTACAGGGAGTTGTTACTGCCTTGCTAAAACAAGGTAGAGATCCAGCTTGCCTGAAGGAAGTTGTTATAATATTGTTACTAAAAAAAGCCTTCCTTGGATCCCACCATTCTGGATAATTATTGGTCAGTCTCTAACATTCCATTTTAGGTAATGCCCTACAGAGTGTGGTGTCCTCCTAGATCCAGAGGTGACTGGATGAGACAGATTATCTAGATCCACCAGGTTTCAGGCCTGATAATGGTGCAGAGACTGCTTTTGGAACATGGGAAAGGGCTCTCTCAGTGGCTTCCTCCAGGATCTGGAACTCTTTTCCCAAAGAAGTTAGATGACACCCTCCCTACTTTCTTTTTTCAGACAAGTGAAGACTTTTCTCTTTCCACAGGCATTTGACAAATGACCATATAAGGCTCAGCTCATGTAAACAATGAACTGGATCCAGCTAATTGTTATGTTGTGTTGTGTGTGTGTGTGTGCTTGCATTACTGTGGGTTACATATACAATGATATATATTTCAATCTGGTTTTAAGTTGTTTTGATTGTTTAATCTTGTTTTAATTTTTTGTCTATTGTGAATTTTTAACTGTGTGTTTTTTAACTTGCTGTAGCCAGGACCAAAGTCAATTGGACATTTTCAAATGGAAACAGTGAGTGTTTTGTTGAACAGCAACAAAAGCTATTTAAGAGCCAGTGTGGTGTAGTGGTTTGAGTGTTGGACTAGGACTCTGGAGACCAGGGCTCAAATCCCTACTCACTGGATGACCTTAAGCAAGTCACACTCTCTCAGCCTCAAAAGGAGGCAAAGGCAAACCCCCTCTGAATAAATCTTGCCAAGAAACTCCTGTGATAGGCCTGCCTTTGGGTCACCATAAATCGGAAACAACTTGAAGGCACACAACAACAACAACAACAAAAGCTTTTTGAGCAACAGCATCGCAAGCAAGTGAGATGTTGCCTGGGTGAATGAGAGGGCTATGCAATGTGGCTCCTACATATAAGTAGACCTTCTTTATACTGAACTAGATTCACCAGTGGATGGATCTATATAAGGCAGCTTCCCAAGTCCTTAGCCTTGGTTGGCTTCATTCTACTGTGGCAGCTTTCTGCCATTATTCTTTCATATTAGGGGGGGGGGGGAAACAAACCAAAGTATATCTAAATGCATTAATTTACAATCCACCCTAATAAAGATCAGCTTCCCAGTTGGTCAGGTGACAGTAGTGAGAGGCAGAAAGAAGCAGATGTACCACTGAAAGGTCTTTGGCAAAGCAAGCAATTCCAAATGATTCAAGCAAGCCAAGGCTAAATGCTACAAGGGAAAGGCAAAAATCCAAAATAATCACAGTGGTTTAGCATTTTCCTAATATTTTATAAAATATTCAAATCACTTCACATACAATTTTTTTTTAATCCATACAACAACCCTTATTAAATTCATGGAGTTGCCTGTCGACTTATGGCAACCCCATGAATTTAATGAGGTTTTCTTAGGCAAGCAGTACTCAGAGGTGGTTTTTTTCCCCAGTTCCTCAATGAATTAGTGTTGTTACTTTAAAATTAAAACAACCTTTAAACAATTTTTAGAAATTGGAAATTATATGTTGTTTCTGATTTATGGCAGCCCTAAAGCTTATTTATCACAGAGTTTTCTTGGCAAGTTTTGTTCAGAGGACGTTTGCCATTGCCCTCTTCTAAGGCTGAGAGAGAGTGGCTTGTCCAAGATTACCCAGTGGGTTTCCATGGCTGAGTGGGGATTCTAGCCCTGGTCTCCCAGAATTCTAGGCCAATATTAAAGTCACTATATTGTGCTGGCTCCTTACTGTTCTTACCATCAAGAAATTCCTCATGATATTCAGTTAAAAAATATCGTTCTGTTACTTGCCCCCATCTCATTCCATCTTAATTCCATCTGATCTCACATTGCATTCAAATCTACAGAGAAGTAATATATAAGCAGACCTTTGTAATGGTGCAAAGTTAAAAGCAATGCTAGTTTTAAGGGCCCAAAAAACCTAAGTCAACCTATCCACAGCTCAATATAAGAACTGTATCTTAACTATTATTTAAAAGAATGAACCATCCCCTGGTGAAAAGCAAGCGCATAATCTGTCCTGGAAGCATTGACCTCTGCTCTCTCATTCATCCATCCTTAAGAGTGAGCACAAAGAGTTATGTCTGCTGGAATTTTGTAAGTTCTTTGACATTATTTTGCTTTGCTTCATCCTTTAGAATTAGATCCTTTGCTATATACCCCTAAGTTTTGCCCTTGACTTATTCACAGGTCATATCAAAATCCATAATTTTGGCCCCAAAACTTGCCCTTGACTTATACATGAGGTTGACTTATAGTTGGGTGTATAAGGTTGTTCAGAGATGTAAACCAGGGTTTGATTTCAAAGTCATAGTACACATTTGTAAAAGGGTGAAATGCAAGAGCTCAAGAGTTCTCATTGAACCAGCATTCCAACAATAACAACCCTAGAACATGTTCCTATATTTCACCAACACATATCCCCAGTCAAAACACTCTACCAACATCTTAGGCTTTCAAGAACCTTAAAAACCTTGTAACTCACTCACCTGCATAATTTTACTTCATTTTAAAGGCATCAGGAGACAGATACAACTTCAAAGACAATGGCTTCTTTTAGTATTTTTTAAAGCCCAGGATTTTCTGCTGCATGAACTGTTTCACATTAAACCCATATTTGTTGTTTTATACGTATGAATAATACTTTTTTGTCTTCATATTTTTTGCCCCCATGAGTATCACAATTGGGCATTCTAAATACAGTGATAGGAATGGATCACACATTGGGACAGGAAAGGGATTAGCACATGAAAAACATATAAATATGATACATCTGTATTACCAGGATTTTCAGATAAACAGAAATGATGCAAAGCTAGGAAAAGTTACTACAGTGTTAATAATAATAATAATAATAATAATAATAATAATAATAATAATTTATATTTCCCACCTCTCCCTATGGATCAGGGTGGAATTACACAATAAAATGAATACAATATGCAAAATGCAAACAATAAAATAGTAAAATCAAACAACAGTAATAAATTATAAGAGCATAACATATAATATAAAATAAATAAAAATAGAATAAAATAAATAAAATAAAATAGCCAATTGTTGTCAGAATCTAGAAATCTAGAAGATCAGATGGATAGACCTGCCAGAAGAGCTCCGTCTTAAGTGCCTTCTTAAAGGCATCTAGCGTAGTAATAAGACAAATCTCTTCCGGTAGGCCATTCCATAACATGGCAGCTGCGGCCATATACAATCTTTGGGAAGTTGTGCTGAGTCTGGTTCTATGATGTTCTAATAAGTTCTTCCCAGATGTTCTGAGAGTGCGGGGCGGATTGTGTGAATAGAGGCATTCCTTCAAGTAACTCAGGCCCAAGCCATGTAGGGCTTTAAAGGTAATAACCAACGCTTTGTACTGCGCCCGGAAGCTAATCGTCAGCCAATGAAGAGATTTTAATATAGGTGTTATATGGTCTGATCTAGATGTTCCGGTGACTAATCTGGCTGCCACATTTTGAACCAATTGAAGCTTGTGAACTTGGTACAGAGGTAACCCCACGTAGAGCGCATTACAGAAATCCAAATGAGAGATTACCAGGGCAAGTACTACTGTTTCAAGGTCCTTTCAGTCCCGGTAGGAATGCAGTTGGCATATCAACCAAAGTTGGTACCAAGCACTCTTGGCCATTGCATCCACTTGAGATGACAACTGCAAAGATGAATCTAGGAGTACTCCCAAACTGCGTACTTTGTCCTGTGTTTTTTTAAAAAAAAAAAAAAAAGCTGCCAGAATCCTACTACTGGCATATAGGTTCTGAGGATAAAAATATAAAAAATGATCTACTGGATCAAACCAAAGGCCTGTTTATAAGCTTTTATCCATTGCTAGGAGTGTAGCTGTGGTAGTAAGGATGAGGCAAAATGAAAGCAAAGATAGATTGGCAATTCTGTTAGTGTACCATCTATCCTGCTACCTATCTGACTTCCTGGCTGAGCTCACAGAACTAGTCTCAGAGTTGGTGATGAAGTCACCCAGACATTTGATCTTGGGTGGTGAGTTCAACATGCCATTTGAGACCAGTCTGTCAGGTGCATCTCAGGAGTTCATGGCATCCACAACAAACATGGGTTTTCTCCAACTGGTTTCAGGGCCCATACATTCAGCAAACCCTAGATGCTGTTTTCAGCTTAGAGCACAGAATTGAACCAGTACAAACAGACCATATTACAGGTTAGCAAAATGCCCACAACTTTAATGTAAATCAGCTATCATAAATCAATCATAGTTCATGACAGCATCATTCAGGTTGAAGGGACATGGAGCCCAATATTCCCATGGTGAGCAAATAATCAAGCAGGGCCACCAACTGCACCTGTCTGGTAGTATTCAATGCAAGTTATTTTTCCAATCCATTTAGTAGGACTAGTTGTAATGATCCAGAGGAGGGCTGACCTGCATCTGTCCAAACTACAGGTTACCTCCCTCAACTACCCACTACCCCAGCCAAGGATGGCTGACAGCCATGTGCAGGGGCATATTTTTGTTGTTGTTAACTGCCTTCACATTGATCTCGACCCATGGCAACCCTATGGATGAGACATCTCCAGGCCCCCCGTCCTCTCCTGCTCTGCCCAGCTCCTGCAAACCCATATTTCTGGTATCTTTAATAAAGTCCATCCATCTAGATCAGGGGTAGGCAACCTTTCCACTTTAAGGGCCGAGGGACTTCAGCTCCCAGAAGCCTCAGCCATGTTGGCCAATAGTCCCATGCTGGCCAATAGCTCCTGGGATTCTGGGAGCTAAAGTCCCTCGGCCCTTAAAGGGAAAGGTTGCCTACCCCTGATCTAGTATGTGGTCTTCCTCTCTTTCTACTTCCCTCACCTTTCCTAACATTATTGTCAATGATTCATGCTTTCTTATGATGTGTCCAAAGTATGACAGTCTAAGATCCTGTACAGACCGGGCAAAAGGGCTGACCTAGGGATGGAGTTGGGGTGTGGCAACCACATGCTGGCTTCCCCGACTTCCCCAGATGCCACCGTCATGCCACATGCCCCACTGCACGGCAGGTGGCATCAGGGTACTCCCTTGGTGCAGTGTACAGACATGCTGCACCAAAGGAGTGCAGAAAAGCTGCCACCACAGCAGCAACAGGCAGCAATATCTGTAGAGCCTCTAAGTCTTGTCATCTTGGCTTTTAGTCTCCAACCTCATATTAGTCTTCTCTCATCATAGATGGAGCACTGCCATCCCCATTGCTTTCTATCCCACTGCCTGGCAATTTAAAGGATAGGAAAGGCAAGAAAAGCAGCAGTGGTGGTGATGGACCCTCTTGAGATTTTAAGAAATTTTTTTAAAAAAGATGTTCAAAATGCCGAACCTAGGGGCCTTGAAACTCATTTGTTGTTAACTGCCTTTGCATTGGTCTTGATCCATGGCGACCCTATGGATGAGACATCTCCAGCCCCCACCCCACCCCCATCCTCTACTGTTTTGCCCAGCTCCTGCAAACTCATATTCACAGTCTCTTTAATAAAGTCCATCCATCTAGCATGTGCCCTTCCTCTCTTTCTACTTCCCTCCACTTTCTTAATATTATTGTCTTTTCCAACTATTATGCCTTCTCATGATGTGCCCAAAGTACAACAGTCTAAGTCTTGTTATCTTGGCTTTTAGGGATATTTCTAGCTTGATCTGCTCTAGGGTCCATTT